AGTGGAAAATTCTATGGATGCAAATTTTTTTGCATCTTTTTTCTTTTTTGTAAATTATTTAGATGCATTTTTTCTTTGCTAATTTTCATACCCTTATTCATGTATCTCTGTCAATACAGATAATACCTATTTTCACTCATTCTTCAATTATTATTTATATTTCTTGGTTGGTGTGAATTGCTTCTTTGATTATTTGTTTTTCTATATTTTTTTGTTGTGTCTCCTGTAATACATCTTCTTTTCTTACAAAATATCAAAGCAATACAAAAATAACAAATGAAATAATAAAAATTAGATAATAAACTGGTAATAAAATTATCATTTAATCATTGATTAATAGAATATTAATCATATCATATATAATTAAAATGAGTAATGTATTTTTATCTATTATTTAGATTTTTTTCTTATTTTGTGATTAAATCATTCTTTTTTGTTTTATTGTCTTTTCTTTCTTAATTCTGTTTCATTCTTCTTTTTATCTTATTTTTTATTTTTCATCATTTAATTATTCACATTGAATTATCATTTCTTTATTTCTTATTTTATGAATGAATATTTCATTATTATTAAATTATTATATATAATTTCATTTATTATTAATATCATTTATATCTTTTTATTTTCTTATTATTATTTAATATTATCTTATTTCATTCTTTCTATTATTATTTATTATATTTCTTATTAAATTACTTCATCATATTCAATTATTATTTGATATTTCATTATTTGATTTGTATTAATGTTTGTGTGTTGTTTCTGATTTTCATTCTTCATTTCTCATTCATTTTCATTTAATAAAATAGAAGAATAAAAATAATAAAAGAAGATAAATAAAATAAGAATAAAATAAGATAAAATCAATGATATTGTTATTATATTATTATGTTATTTTAGTTTTGATTTTATATTTATTATTTTATTTTTATCTTTTATAATCATCATTCATTTCTTCTTTTTGTCAATTCCTCTTTTATAAACATCACTCAATTTATTCTATTTTCTTT